ATCTGCATCGTTGAATAGTTTGACATTATTAATTATGCCACTTAAATCATGATATGTTTCCATAAAAAAGTTTCTTTAATTCTAGGACAATCATCAAGCCAAAATGACAGAAAGAGCGTGGTGTTTTGCGGAGAGTTGCTCAAATCCTGATTCATTGAAGAAATATAATAAAGAGAAATGTGTTTCACATATTATTACTATTTTAATTTATGTGTATATGAGACAGGACTTTTTGTCTGATGACAAGTTGAGACGGTCTGAAGCAGCTAAACAAAAGATAAATTTAACTCTCCATTAGAGAACAGAAACAAACAAACACATTTTATCTTTGTAGGTCAAACCTACAAAAATAATCTGTGCTGTCCTGCTTCTTATTTTGTAGATCGATTTAAGTTGTGCAGTACAATATGTTAAACATATGAGTGAATTGCAATTTAGCTGTACAATTCCCAAAAAAAATGAAAGTGCTCATACAAAAAATCTGAGACGGCTGTCTTGTTCCCCGTCATTTTCTGTGTATGGGATAAAAATTTCCCGACTACCAGACCTCGTTTAGATTAGAAAATCCAGAAAGAAGTTTGCCCCCTTTTATTGCAGGCTTACGAATACAAAACAGTGATTTCTTTTCGTCATAACTTTGTATACGAAGGCAACAGTATTCTATGAAAACTGACCCAGTGGCAATCCACGAGGTCTGTCGTAGGAGCCTGTGCTCAAAAATGTCGAAAAAGCGCTACGAATAAAAAATCTTGTCCGGACCCAAAAAACATTAAAACAAAGAAAAGGCTTCAAAAAAAGGGTGGCTTCATTTTTGCGGCATAACGCAAATTTGCCTAGGCAATTTTTGGTCTACAAATGTGAAATTTTTAGCACAGCATCACAGGCGCATTCTACGTGTTCTATAAAAATTTCATCCAGTTTCGTTCATCCGTTCAAAAGTTATAGATAGATCAAGAAGAGAAAAAGAAGGCTTCAAAATGTGTGAAAAAAGGAATTTTGCTTTTTTTCTCCAACAAAGTAACTAATATGGTTTTGATTCTACCTAGACTTTGTGTATCCCGAACTGCTCTTTCTTTTGGCGCAAGAAAGAAAAAGCTATCTCCTAATTTGGGTGAGCTATATGCATTTTGGTGGGAGGCTTCAAAGTGTACGTAAAAGTAAAACTGCGAAAAAATACAGCCTAAAATGTCACAAAGGGAAAAACGAAAAGCATGGTTTGATGGCAAATTTGGCGCTCTATAAGATGCACTACTTATTTATGTGCTGGTGAGTCAAACAAAAAAAAGTTTTTTAAAATCGGTTCACAGGAAAAAAAGTTAATGCAGAAAAATACCTAAACCAGTGATTGTACAACTATAATGCAATTCACTCATATATGTATATATACTGGAAGAGAAACATTCTCACATGAAATTATCTTAATTACCTGTTCATTCTACAAATGTTAACGTTTTATTCACCGTGAGCCCCTCATGCGTTCTCTAATCAATCTAAAAGATATTGCAGTTTCCGAAAAGAAAAAGCGTTCTTCATTCTATCGCGTATTCTTTTTTCAACCTACTTGCATTCTTTTTTGAATATTTTCTCGAATACTGCGATGGGAACGCTATATATTAGTAGACGAGTAGAAAAATAAAAAAGTAAAAGGTTGAATGAAGTAAATGCTTTGCTCGCAACAAAAAGTTTTGGCAAAAATTATATTCGCAAATAGTAGGATGCGAAAACTATTCTTTTTATACTAAAACTTGCAGAATTTCAAGCTCTAACAGATGAGTATCTCACTATGCGTTGCATCACTTTGGTATAGATCACAGAATTGAGATTAATCGATACAAAGCTAGTGTAGGAACCCTATGAAAAGCAGAAAATTGGCTTTCTCACGAAGGACACAAAACTAAGGTCAGAAACTTTTGCAGCATAGGGCTTTGCTTAGGACTAATATTACTGTGAGTTTCAGCTCTTTAACCCATTGGAATAGTGCATTAATTTCACTAAATCAGTCATAGCTCGGGAAGGAAGCCGCATGCCTGCATGCGAATCCTTTTAGGCTTTTTGCTACACTCAGTTAATCTCAATTCTGTGATCTATACCAGAGTGATGCAACGCATAGTGAGATACTCATCTTGCAGAGCTTGAAATTCTGCAGGTTTTAGTATAAAAACAATAGTTAGTTTAATAAAAACAATTTTTGTTAACCAAGGCTTTGAAGAAGTCTCCAAAATAACGTAACACTTCATCGGCCAAATGTATCTTTGGTGTTTTTTCCGTTTCATGAAGCAGTAACCAGTAAGCGTATAATATTCAACTCACGACTCGGAAAAATTCTTTAGCTTTTAGGTCTGAGTCAAATTTTTTACAAAATGTTTAAAAGGAGAGTAAACTACATTTCGTTTTTTTCGGATTTTGCAGTTGTACAGTTCAGATTCGAGGATTATTAAGCCTATTTTTCGCATCCTACTATTTGCGAATATAATTTTTGCCAAAACTTTTGTTGCGAGCAAAGCATTTACTTCATTCAACCTTTTACTTTTTTACTTTTCTACTCGTCTACTAATATATAGCGTTCCCATCGCAGTATTCGAGAAAATATTCAAAAAAGAATGCAAGTAGGTTGAAAAAAGAATACGCGATAGAATGAAGAACGCTTTTTACTTTTCGGAAACTGCAATATCTTTTAGATTGATTAGAGAACGCATGAGGGGCTCACAATGAATAAAACGTTAACATTTGTAGAATGAACAGGTAATTAAGATGATTTCATGTGAGAATGTTTCTCTTCCAGTATATATACACATATGTTTAACATATTGTACTGCACAACTTAAATCGATCTACAAAATAAGAAGCAGGACAGCACAGATTATTTTTGTAGGTTTGACCTACAAAGATAAAATGTGTTTGTTTGTTTCTGTTCTCTAATGGAGAGTTAAATTTATCTTTTGTTTAGCTGCTTCAGACCGTCTCAACTTGTCATCAGACAAAAAGTCCTGTCTCATATACACATAAATTAAAATAGTAATAATATGTGAAACACATTTCTCTTTATTATATTTCTTCAATGAATCAGGATTTGAGCAACTCTCTGCAAAACACCACGCTCTTTCTGTCATTTTTCAGACGAAAGTGTACAAGTTAACCCTTTAAGTGCCATTGCTCGACCATGATAACTAGAGACTTCTAAATTTGTGTGATCATTGTTCTCACCAAATACTGATCACCAAGCAACTTTACGCGTCTTTTCATAGGTGGTTCGTGAGATATAAGCATTCCATTTCTGTTTCGTGAAATGCTAATAAGTCCTGGTCGAAGGAGAGATGAAACTTTTGCAGTTTACCAAAATGTAGCCCTGACTCTCCTTTACCTACGATATGAATTTCAAGTATTAGCTCTTAACAATTATTAAAATACAGCTATTTTATGGTCGAAGGTCACTTTTGAAGTTTGAGACCCTCTTCCAAAAAAATTCATAACTCAACCTAGAAATACTATTTTCATCGCAAAATTGCGCCAGATACTCTAAAATGTTTTCAGACTATTCACACAAAGTGTGAGGGTTAACTATTGTATGGTTCGAAAAATTCATAGAAAATGAGCACCCACTACTGAAACATCCATAGGGAGGTAAAGGTGAGGAACCAAGGATCGTCCATTTTACCATATCTGCTGTGGTTAATGTCTGTCATAATCATGAAAATTTAGGGGAAAATATTCATAGGTAAAATACGTCACACTCACCCTAACCCAAAGTCATTTCATTTATTTTGCGTCTTTTTTCACTTCCCATACACTTGCAAGCAGAATTAATAACATATAACCAGGCATGCACCAGTTAAAAACTGGTGCATGCCTACATATAACTGCATCGTCGCATCTCGATGTCTTTTTGCGTTCACAAGCTATTCGAAAATCAAGAAACTTGAAAAAACCGTACTTTATAAAGTACGGTGGTAATGAAAGGGTTAAAGAAGAAAAGATACTGTTGAATATATATTTATAAAGTCTCTGTAATGTCTGGTCAAGATTGTACGGAAGCGAAATGTAGCCAACCAAAGACCGTAGCTTCACGCTCTTTGTTATATGTAAACGTTACTTGAACTGTATAACACGCAACTTCATATCTGACATGCAAGAGAAAATTGAAAAAAATACAATGATCCTAGATGTCGTACATATTCAGTAGAAGAAAGCTCTACATAATAAATTATATTATTTCCACGCAATTATTCCATCCTATTATTATCTTATTTCCATCCAACGGATTTCTAAAACAGAAAAGTCATGAGTTAATCATCTATGCTTATGAGATTTTTAAACTTACAAATTCTTTCTTAAATCTTTTTAAAAATGTAACATAATCAAAATCTAATCTAAACTTTTTTTATTTGCCAACAAATCGAACTAGCTCATTACATGTTGGTTGAAGTTGAACAAATGTGAGAATAATAACAACAGGAAAAAGAACAACAAGTAAGAAAAAAAAGAAACAAGCAGTAAAAAAAGAAAGAAACAAGCTTGTTTCTTTCTTTTTTCACTGCTGGTTTCTAATCAAAATCTTTTCCTTAATTTTGTTGTTCGGCTTGAATCTCTGCTAATTTTCGATTCCGATGATACATCAGAAATTCAAGTAATAAATCGTTATGCATACGTAATCCATGGATTAATTTTAACTTTATCACATGTAATTTATCTACCAGAAAAACAAAAATAAATACCCATCAACAGCCTTCTTTTTTCGTATATCTTCTTCTACAGATATTTTTTCAAAAAATAATCTATTCTTTCCGCTGTTATCAGGTCATGCTCAACAGCATCTTCAATCTTTGTACTTTTCTCAAATTGTATAAGACGTTCATAGTCACCACTTCAGAATGGGAGGCTCCCATTCTCAAGAGCGGCTCCCATCGAAAGCGTTCAGTGTATATATTCTGCGTACTAAAATCAAATTGTGGATTTCATGTTTATTGGGTCTATCTTATTTGAGGTGAACGTATAAAGTCTGCATGGATTCTTCAAAACCTGCACATGGATTCTTCTCAACGTTACTCCATCCTTCATTAAAACATTTTCATAAAGCACCAAATGATAAAAATAAAGCACTTGATTTAGTCAAACAAGAAATCTTAAAACGTACATTAGCATCACCAGTTTATGATAATACTACTTTAGAATTAGCAACAACCACTGCTTCAATTACATTTGATACAGTAACACCTTCTAATTCAAACAACTTGTTGGCTCGTTGCTTCGATCAACCAAAACCACCACCTATCTCAACTTCAACACCGTTTGATGAATTAGATAGTTACATGGCATTAGATGAACAAATCAATGAAAATGATGATGTACTTTTATTTTGGAAAGAAAATGCAAAATCATTTCCCATATTATCATTAATTGTACGTGATCTTTATGCAATACCCGCTTCGAACACAATAGTGGAAAGATTATTTTCATCATCAAAAAATACCGTAACTGATCGACGAACTAGTTTGGCAGCAAACAAATTGAACAAACTGCTATTTCTTCAAAAAAATCTTTTTATATTAAAACAAATAGAGAACGAAAATTTTCGGGAAAATCTCGAACAATCAAAAAGAAGATTTTCAATGTCTAATGATCAACTAGTTATACTTGATGAAGATACAAATAATTTAATTCCTTCATCAACAGCAATCCATTTTTAGTCAAAAAAGAGAGTGGGCCGATTCATAACCTTATACGGCCCCCTCCTTTATACATGATACAACGATGAAATGGACCTGCGTTTTTTTCCGTTTCTAAGAGTTAAACGCATACAGACGATGAAAACGATTCTGTATCGATGCATCAAAGATTTTGAGTTAAAAGTCAATAACCATGAACTGTAATATAAAAGTGATTTATTTTGTACTTTTTATGTATGACAACAATGCGGCAAGTGTAGTAAGGAAGTCAATAAGATCCTGACATGCGAGAATATTGCTTGCTTTTCATATCTGAAAGGGGAGATGGATTAGTTGCATAATGGTTAAAAATTTTGATATCCTTTTATTTTTAAGTCATACGAAAGCGTCTGTTACGGATAAAAATAAGACGTGCAAGTTTTGGAGAAGGAGAAGAAAGAAGGAGAAGATGGAGTACAAATAGGCACCAGTGGAACGAATCCACTGGAACGCTCTATACGGCCATCCATATGGACGGCCATCGGGAATAAGAGAGAAAACGCCGTCGTTCCGGCTACTGGAAAATATTGCGATGAACCCACAATATTACAATGTAAAAACCCACACTTTTATCGAGACCGGTCTGATTTGTGACATCTGCAATTACATACAGAGATGTGCGCCGCCGCACCGGTTCGCCGATTCGCCGCCGCCGCTGCTGATGGCGAAGAAAAATTGTTGCGACTTCCGCACAGTGGGCAATTTTAAATAGGCACATGGAATTTAGTGGAAAATGCACCGTCTCAAATCAAAGGGTTTATAGGATTTCGAGTATGCTCTTTCCAATGGAAACCTTTTCGGAACTATACAAGTTTTTGAACGGGGTTTTCTAAAAAACTTTTCCGGTTTTGGGGCCTAAAAATAGCTGAAAAAGGCAAAATTGATCAGCTTTATAGGTTTCGACTATGCTCATTCCAATTCGACTATTAACAAACGCTTAGAAATTTATTAGAGAGGATTTTTGGAAAACCAGATCTCTGGAAAACCCTTTTTGCGCGAAAATAGACCAAAAAAGGGTTAAAGAACTGATTAATGTAAGTTAATCAGTTAAATAAAAGTCCACTATCGTCAGTGCCCACCACCACCCCTTGACCAGCTGAGCATAGTTATTGATGGTCGAGTTACTGAAAAGCTAATCTTCCATCACTATAAACGCGTTAGAGCGGATACTGTTCAAGAAGAGGTGTTCAGCCCAGTTTTGCTCTTTCGGTTAACAAGTTTTTTGCAAACACTTGGCTGAAACCTTTGCTTGGGTATTTATTCTGAGTTGATGTGGACTCTTCAGTCCCGTCCGTCAAGGTGGACAAAGCCTCGGCTTTGTTTATTGAGACCGTACTCAGTTCTACCATTGCTTTTATCAAGCGCTAAAGGTCATTACCTTGGGCAGAGACCGATCAGACAACTTACCTTGTTAAATCGGTTGTCCCTTCGATAGCCTCCACTACTCACTCAACTGGGCCAAGGGATCTCAGCCGCTCCATCCCTGAGAAATTACATGACCACCAGATAACTTAGATGATAGGACCAGGGGGGATTTACGCAAGTTCCAGAGGCCTGGCTGACATAGTCCCTACTATCTAAGCCTCCTAGCGCTCTGCTAGCCATATCTTTTTACAGACCCTCTTTGGGAATTTTGACCGTCCTTGAGCGCCAGCTCTGTTAAGCAACCGTTTCGAGCAACACGGGGGCTCCGGAAGTACCACGCAAAACAACAGTTCCCAAATGTGGCCTCGGAAGTGTCCGAAAGCTACTGCTCAAAGAATTCTCAATGAGCCAGAGGGGGTTCGTCATATGGTCTCTAGATGACACCTGCTGGGCTTTCGTCACAACTGTACCCTCATCCAAGCCCTGCTGCTACAAAATCCGCTGCCATTGTCGGTACCCTATTAAGTGTAACAACACGTCTTACTTTTATCCAGACAACATTATCATTAAACAAAAAAAACGACTACCGACTCGATTACTACCACTTTACCCTGGTTTACACAGAATTTCTGCATGATTTTTCAAACAAAATTTCCTCAGAGTACCATACATCAATCCTAAAATGTGCACCAATTCCGAAATCATAACCTAAAACCTTACGTCACAACATTATCCTAGTTTAACGTCATTGCGGACGAAAAACCGAAAAAGTTAAATTTCGTTCAATATTCGTATAAATTCTAACTCATCATTTTAAATAAAAAGATTTTCTATTATTTGTTTTCTTCTTTGTGTAATAGAGCTATTCTTCTTGTTATTTTTCTTTTGTTTTCTTTTTTTTTCTTGCAGATAGATTTATATTTATTTCGACAATGAATGTCAACAAAACTAATGAATAGTTCAATCATCAATTTCCAAACCAAGAACAAAGAAAACAATGCCATGGTAATCGAAGAGAACAACGTTTTCGAAGAAGATGTCGTGCACGAAGAATGAAACCAGAAACAATAACAAAGGTACTTAAGAAAATAAATCAAGCTAAAACCACTACTAATAATAATCAAACGAATGCAACACAGTATCAACTGAGATACATACTCCATTGAAACAGATAACGACAAATTCTCATAAAGGTAAAAAAGATATTTCATTACAAGACCTAAAAACAAATCAAGTAATGACAAAATCAACAAGTTCAATCTCTATTGTGCAACCATTATCAAAAAAGATGAAAGGTAAAACGAAAACAATGGCTATACCATCAGTAATAGTCAATAACAATGGTATAAGCAAGAGTTATCGGTTTGTGTTTTAATATTTATCAATGATTCTTGAGAACATAAGACATTTTCTGATTATAGACGATTCTTGTATTTAAAACGATCATCATCAATACTTTTTCAAATGTTAACTGAAATATTGAAGTATCCATTAAAGAAAAAAGATGAACAAAGATTCATCCATACACGACTCGTTTTATTAGATAAACAATAGTCTAGAAGTTGAATTACAATTATGGCAATCCTATTTAGATATTGGTTTACAACAGCAAATATGGTCAGTAAGTATCTTGTTAAAAATCATTCTTACATAATAATTCTTCTCAAAAATAAAGGATCGACTTTGTACAATGGCAAAGACAAATGATTTCAAATTATGTCAACAATATGTTATCACTTATATACAAAATATTAAACAACAATTGAATGAATGTCAACTAGAATTGTCAAAACAATCTCAACCATATCGGATGACAACATTACCATTTGATCAGATTGACGATCGTCTTAAAGAAACGGTTGATCATGAACGAAAATATTTATCAACAAGAAATAATAATCAATTACTTAAGTTCAAAGATGATATTCATGAAAAAGAATTATTTAGAATTATATTTACGTATCGTCTTACTACTGATCAAGTAAGTCTATATAATTTTTAACAGAATAGACATTTTCTTCTTACAAAATTCTCTTTCAGAATGAATCTATTCATCATCAATATATGTTTTTATACTCAAACTACTATCCGGTTTCCATAGTTTGATAGTACGATCATTTCCTGATGTTAAACAATAATTTCCATCGATATTATAACTTACACAGCGAATTGCTGCAATAATATAATACTTCAAGGAAAAACGCATCAGCGAAATTGTTTTTTCTAAGATATGAATAAAATTATTGTACACTTATTTTGAGCTCAAACCTTAGGCGTGCCTGAAATGAACTGCGTCGTATTCCGGAAGAGAAAGCCGAGTAAAACATGGTGAAATTAGGGTCTCACTGCCGAAAGCTTTCTTAACTTCTACTTTTTTCTGCTGTTTGACTCGAACTGGAATCTTTCACAACAACAAGATGAAACAAGATTTGTTACGCAGAAAATAAAATATCTTGTATTTCTTTAAGTTAAGATCTTGATAAGAACGTAAAAGGAACTGCTCTGTGAATTGTGAGAATTTTACAGAAATCGCACTAACACTGTCGATTTGATACATATTTTAAGATAATTATATGACGATCGTCCCGACGAGGGCTATTACTTCTTGATTCCTGTACTTTTTTACTCGCTCTATTTAACCCTGGTAGTACCAAGCCTATAAATAATTGTTTTTTGAATTTTTCTTTCACATTAAGAGGTACGGACCCGATTCAAATGATGATATAGATAGTACGAGAGACCGGCTACATGATGTACTATAGGAGCGGACTCTGTCTGTCTATATAGATTTTTCATAATTAAAATAGTTTTTCCTACCGAAAATAGGTTTTGAGCGCTTTCCAGCATTTCGCATTTCCTAACCAAGAGATTTGCGTTAAAATGAAAAAAAATACACCAATCGGTAGAGAATTTCACGTTCTATCAGTTTCTAAAACAAATTTCGTTCCCAAAGTCGATCTTCACCTCACAAAACCTGATTTTAGTGAGAATAGTCGAAAAATACGGAAAAAATGAGATTAGTTCCTTCAAATTCCATCATATCGCGATGTATTATACACCGTTGGAAAGAGCATCCAAAACTGAAGAAAATGGTGTATTTGACGTTCGAATATCATCGGTTTTTCATGTCTCTTTTTCCAAAACAAAGTATTGGAAAACACGACTCATTTTTCTGTTTTTAATTATTTCGACGGGAAAAACAATGTCTATGATTTGTCCAACTAGCTAGCCGAACAGAGCGTGAAATTCTCTATCGATTGGTGTATTTTGTTTTCATTTTAACGCAAATCTCTTGGTTAGAAAATGCGAAACATTGGAAAGCGCTCAAAACCTATTTTCGGTAGGAAAAACTGTTTTAATTATGAAAAATCTATATAGACAGACAGAGTCCGCTCCTATAGTACATCATGTAGCCGGTCTCTCGTACTATCTATATCACCATTTGAATCAATATGTTTGAAAGTAGAAAGATACCAAAATATTTCCGTTTAATGTCTGTTTTCTGCAGTGGGGTCCATTTGGACCCCGCTTGGTACTACAAGGGTTAAATATAAACTTAATGCTTGCATATGAATAAACGAAACAATTTTCAAACGACAGACGAAATTATTATGCTAATATTTCGCTCCAGACATGGAGCATCATCAGAGCAAAAAAGAGAAAAGAAAGAATGGTCTAGAAATCTTATTGATACATACCTATTAATTCTCTAATTTGTTCGCTTTATTCAGTAGCAGATTACTATGTTCTACATTCACGAAAACAACAGCTATATATATATGTCGTATCGAAGTTATAACTTCGATAGTCCATCTTATCGAAGTTGTAACTTCTATAAACATACTTCATGGAAGTTACAACTTTTGATAAGATGGACTATCGAAGTTGTCCTGATTATACTCAACGGTAAAGAATTGATTATTTGAATGATATTATCAAAAGTGCTAGTTAAAGTTATATTTCAGCTAAACAGTAGATATATTTACCAATGAAAAAATCAGAAATGTAGTTATGAAGAAAAAGTGAAAAGATACATACGAGAAATGAGGATCTCCGACGTAACTCAGAGAGAGAATCGTATATGCAATCTTGTCTCTGCATGTTCAATGTTTTTTTCATTTACTAATACAGCATTTATTGTTTAGAAATGGTCAGTGTAAAAAAAAAGCAGTGGTGAGCTTCGAGCAGCAATAAATCAAGTAGATAAACTTGCCAAGTTAAAGAATGTATGATTTTTCTCGAACGTTTGTCAGGTAATCAACCATTTGCAACTGCATTCGCTCTGTTAACTATATACGTCTACTCAAAGTAAAATTAAGTGAACGGTAATTTAAATAGTTTTTGATAGGAGAACTAGAACTTCCAGGATACGCTGATAATGACATTCTTTAAAGATGCATCAGTAGTCACAAAACATTTTAGAAACTATACTGTTCTAGACACAGGTTTCAGGACATTTTAGAACACACAGCACTTTTGTTTTCTATTTTGCATCCTATATTCTTTTAAACATGTTAAACTGATGTGAGTATATCCTGGAATTTGCAGGTCATTCGGACGAATTGTGATTCAGATATGAATTTTGTGCTGTTGAAACTGGAGAAAAAGTTTAACGAGAACTTACTTTTTGCTAGGTTTTCGGAACAATTTTTAGAAACAAAAGATTGTCACAGGGCTTGACATAGAGGATAGCCTATATTTAAAATAGTTAAAGAAATAATACTATACCTTGCGCTTATGTTGTATTATCATGGGACTAGTGACATAACATAGCATAGGCAGGTTCCTACACTACACAACAATACATGTCATATGGTGTCTTTTTTTCTTGTTTTTGATTTTTTAGCAAAACAGCCAAAAAGCCATTGGTCAGATGCCGAATTTCTTAGAGAATTCTTACAAAGACCAGCGACTAACAACCATTCTCCTTATATTTTAGTAGTTTTCAATTTAGCGATACTCTGTAGTATTCTCATGACAAAACGCCAAATTTTTCCAAAATGAACTGAATTTTTACTACAACAAGCGATCAACACCCTTTAATGTGAACGCCCTCCCATTTCACCTTGCTCATGTTGTCACGCATCATCAAAAATAAACTACGATCACGTAAAGTAAAATACAGTACTTATTGTATTTTGTCGAATAAAAATAGCCTTATGTAGATTGATATTCACACATCAATGCTTTTTTGCGAAGGCAGATAATGCGATTTTTATGACTCATTTATTATTATTTTTCTAGTTATTTCTTATACGCACTAAGCAATTATATGAAGTATACGCAAAGGAAAAACCTCTTCAGAATCAAAAATATTTGTTGAAACATTATTATTCTATTGTGGATAACGATAGTCAGCAAAAGAATGTTAATATTATTACAACTTCTTTTTTTACTTATTGGTACTTGCAATTTAGCGCCTACCTGCTCATCGTGTGTTGTACCTGATCTCTATATTATATGTCCAACAGGATGTATACCAGGGAGTGGTTGTACTCGATCGATATGTGTGAACGGAAATGTGAAATAATTGAACCTACTTGCTCAAACTGCACAACTGCCACAACAGTAAAAATGAAAACAGTGACTCCTCAAAAATGTAAAAACGATAGTAATTGTAAATCTCCTGAACACAAAATTTGTGCTGCTTGTATAAATGGTCTTCATCCTCCATGTACAAGTGTTCAGTGTAAAGATGGCCTATGTCATACAATACAACCATGTTCATTATGCCAAACATGTTCAAAAGATAAAAATTGTAAATATTCTAATCGTATTTGTGCACATGTCCATATAATTGTGGCCCTGGATGTACAACATTTAAATGTAATGATAGTAAATGTGAATTAATACCATAAAGAGTTTTTGAGAAAACTTCAGACAAATTTTAACTTCTTTCACTACTATCGATTCATCCAATATTTTGTCTAGTTTTATCATGTGTGATACATGGAAACGACTTTATCTTGACCTTCACAGATTTTATAGGATTTTTTCATGGATTTTTGACATTGTACCATTTTTGCCCAAAACGCCATACGGTGCCCAAATAAGCCGAAAGGTTTTTTCGCACACGGAAACTAGCGACCCGTTCCCACTTCGGCTAATTACCGTTCCCAAATAAATAATCATGCCCAAAACAGTCAAAAGATTTTTCTGGGCACGGAAACTGATAAACCGTGCCCGAAACAGAATGACCTTCTACGCAATGACCATTTCTTAACGTCCACACACGCTTCCTTATTTCCAAGCTACAATGAACATTTGCGATCTGTAGTTGTGACAAGCACCCGTCGGCAACGAATCCTGCACGAACTGCCCGTCACCACAAGCGAAAGATGTCCGCTCTTCCGTTGCGTCATCACAACTAAATTATGAAGAAACCCCAGAACAATTCTTGAAAGAAAACTCGCCTCTGTGCTGATCATCTGACTTATCTGAACAGTCGTATTCACCATCTAGCCAATACTTTTCAGAAATACAAGATCCATCCCGACAACGATATTCATTCTTGTGACACTCGTTATATTCCAGTTGTTCACAATGATCTTCATCAACACCGCCCATGCACTGTTGTTTACCTACAACGGACAGTTCCCCGACTAACTTAGCCAATCTTCAGCGAAAGCATTTGATTGATATTGCCGAGACAATTCGGACAAGAGAGTATTGTTCTAAAAAATGAAAGCAAACATACCATCACATATGTTCTGCCAAGCTAAACATCTGAGTCCAGAGTAACAATTGGTTGATGTTATGTAGCAGGTCATATTGCCCCACAGCTGACTTCCATTGTGATATTTATATTTAAGATGAAACTGATATTTAACCGTATCTTCAAGTGTGTTTATCGTTATAGATTCATATTCACAAAACTTGCCAAATGTGCCCAATGAACAATTACAAATTTTTCCATCAGCAAACCGTTCATGCCTATAGAAAAAAAACTTAATCTAGTTGCGATTTTCATAGAGTAATGAATGATCGAAAAGTTTCTGGGCAAAATGTTCGTCTTCTATTTTTCGTCCTCTTAAACGATTCACTAGGCATTTAAAAAGATCTTTTTTTTTTTAATCGAACTTTATTTAACACCAACAGCAGAAAAAAAACAACGAAAACAAGAAAGAGCAGGCAAATCGATAATAAAATCATAGTATGCCTCGATCTATTCGACATAAATGAAACAATAATAAAACAGTTAGGGAAAAAAAAAAGAAAAAGAGAGATGGTGATGAGAGAGAGAGAGAGAGAGAAATTCGAGTAAGCAAAGAAGACTGCATCCATATGGCACTGTATAAGAACAGACAATACAGAAGACATCAAGTCAATCAAAGCGTTTGGTCGAACGAATATATTGAAGAATAGAATTAAACGTTGATAGTAGGTCAGCTCTACTCAAAGCGTGGATAGAGTGATGGAGGAGTAGGATGTGATCTAAAGTGATAGAGGAATTTAAAATGCCACGCAACTGTTGAAACATCTCCTGCCTCTGTTCTTCATAATCAATACATTCCGCATGAAAAAGTTTTTTTGCGATTGTAGGAAAAACACATGGTCATTTGGAGTGAAGAATTCTCTACAGAATGAGACAGTCTCTACTGACTCTCTTACAGAAATATGAGAGCTTTAAAATTTTAGCTTAGAAACCTCAAAAAACAAAAAATTTTCTTTTTCTTTGGTTTTTTTCTTTCTCGCAGAACCAAAAAGATAATTCTGAATCGACGATTTTCTAGAACAAAAATATTCTCTTCAAAATGCATTCTTCTCCAAACCTCCCTGACTCACTTTATTTTGCTAAGGGACCAAAAAACTGATTTCAGCGGTGTGAGTCATTTTTCACATCATGAAAAATTTAGTCAGCACAGCTTCATCGTGTACCCCTTCTCACCTCACGAAGCCATACATGCTGTGAGGCTGGAACTTTTAACATAGACAGGGCTCTTCATTTCCCAGCGCTATTTTCACAGTTTCTTAATATATTTCTTAGTTTTCAATATACACACTTCACAATATTTCTGAACAGCAAGAATAATCATGTTTTACTCACGTCATAATTAGGCGTTTTAGCTCTGTCAACCAAACAGAGCAATATTTTTAGAAACGGGCAGAAATCCCGCTGGCAAACGAATCTTCTTTCAACTTACATTCTTCTCTTACAGTCAAGGGACCGAGCAATCCCACCGATTGCGCAACTTGTTATTTAACGAGAAAAATGGAAATTATACTCTTACCATTCACATTCATGTGAATTGTTAGTACCGATACTCGCGAATTCAAGTAGTACTTTAAAGTACTACTTGAATTCGCGAGACAGGGACCGGTCAACCAAGATCTTGTTATTATTATAACCGCGAAGTTTACCTAAGGTGCAAAAGTAGAATATGATCGATCGAAGATGTAAATAAGACGTAAACGTAAAAAGCTTTTAGGCTCTTGTGAGATATAACCACATTTATGTCATACATAGGCCATCATTGGTTACGAAAGTATTTTATCGAGTAGTTTTTAATCAATAAGTGTAGTTCATTAGTTATTTTTATCTGCAAATGTCATCAAAACCTGACAAAGCGTTAACGAGAAACTTTGTAGAGGCTGCCTCGAAGTATGCATAAATTTGGATAATTTTTTTGGCTCTGCATTCAACAATTTTACAACGTTTTACGTATCAATGCACAGTTAAAGATTCTTTTACATTTGCTAAAGGGATTCGCAAGCAATATCAACTGATTAATGATACAAATATGATTTCGTTTGATATCTCTAGCTTGTACACTAATGTACCGTTAGATGAAACACTAGAAATAGTACTAGATAAATTGTACAAGTCATCGTTACCAAAACCGAATATAAAACGCATTGATCTTAAGAAACTGTTAAATTTTGCCACTAAACAGTCACATTTTTTATTCAATGGTAAAGTATATGACCAAATAGATGGTGTGAGCATGGGTGCACCGCTAGCTCCACTAATGGCCGAGTTATTCATGCAAGGTTATGAGAGGAAACATATGGGAAAACTAAAAGATATTGGTGTTAAATATTGGCGTAGATATGTTGATGACACTATTGTTCTGTTAAAATTAGAAGAGACAGCAGAAAATGTTGCTCAATTTTTGAACAAATTGCATCCATCAATTAAATTCACTTTCGAAGAAGAAAATGCTAGTGAACACACGTTACCCTTTCTAGATGTTCTTGTAAAGAAAACTGAAGGCTATACTACTAGTGTATATCGAAAACCGAGTTTCACAGGATTGATGACTAAATGGCTGAGTTTTATACCCAAAAGGTATAAACGCAATGCCATTTCAACCATGGTCTATCGTGCTTTCAACGTCAGTTCAACTTATCAGATATTACACAATGAATTCGACGTCATACGAGTATTAGCTAGAAAAAATGGTTATCCACTAAATTTTGTTGAGAAAATTATTCGAGACCATTTCAATCATGCATACACCACTCGATCAAACAAAAACGATGCTCCAGCTAAAGAAAACATAATATTTCGTATACCATATTTTGGCCAATGTAGTCAGATTTATGCTAAGAGAATAACAGCAGCAGTTAAGAAAGTTTATCCACAAAAAGATGTTCGTATTGTTTACGATGTGACGAAGAAAATTGGTGATGGTTTTAAGTATAAAGGATAGAATACCAGATGATTTGAAGTCAGGTCTAGTATATGAAACGACTTGTCCTCAATGTGGAGAGTCTTACATAGGAAAGACCTGCCGACACTTCATCACTAGAGTAGGTGAACATCTTGATTATCAAGGAAAGACCACTGGTACTCAAGTTAAAACAAAAACAAATCAATTAAAATCTAAAACAATATCGATACAAATTCAGCCAGTTCTTCGCCTACCTCGCCGGATAGGACCTGTAACGAGATCTCAAACCAATAAACTGCCTCCTTCTATCAAAAAAGTGGAAGATGAAGAATTTGAGCGATTTTTAATGGAGAATATGAGAATGCATCAAGAAACAAAGTCTCCAGTAGCAACATCAGCCATAGCACTTTCAAAATACAGGACATATGATAACAAGGAATGATTTTCGAATTTTACTGTCCGAACAACATAGATATCGTCTACTAGTAAAAGAATCATTATTGATTAGAGCTAATACACCAACGCTCAATGGTACCGATAGATCAGTCCCTCTATATGTTTTCCCAGATGGATTGGAAAGGAGGATTTTAACAAGAATGGTCGGAGATGGGAGATTAATACCACCAAAATAATCTACTAAATAGAAACCCTTTGGATAATAAGGTTAAGTTTTTAATGCACATGAGATCTTAAGTGTACATTAAAGGGTGGAGGAATGGAAAACAAAATTGAATGAATAATCTTTCTCATCAAGTACAGAGTTAATGGGCCTTGAAAATGAAAATGAAGAATAGAATAAGTTTATTTTTTACTTCTACAGTGTAATTCTCTAGTTTTTTGTGTTGATAATGGCCGTTACTGGCCGAAAATTCCACGCAAAATTATAATTAAAATAAAAAGATGAAGTCGGAAATAGCTGCAGTTAATACGTCAGATTGGATTTTAAAATCGTTACCCTTTACTGATATTGAACAAATAAACAGATGCTATTCGTTTTGTTTCGTTCTGTAACGTGCCACATGATAAATATCGAAATGGAAGAAAAATCGAAATATGAGAATGAATCAGATTTTTTTATAAATGCCGTTACTGTTTAACAGCTAGTATGATGTTGAAATGAGTTCGTACCTTTATTTGTTTTATGAAGGTGAAAGATGAATAGAGCCTTTTTGCTCGTTTCATTAATATGAAAGATAAAAGTCTTTCTGAATGATATTGTTTTTTTAGTAAAGTAAAGAAAAAAGAATTCTATATATAGACACACAGGTTAAACAAAAAAGAACATAAAGTAACAAATGATGGCAGTTGGTAGCAATAAAACCTGTAACGGGTCGAAGATCTTATTTGGTGATATTGACTGCCAACAATACACTAATTGTTTGGCAGGTGGGCTAAACCGAGAATGTCTGTTAATAATCCAAGTAAATGGGATGCTATTTTTGATAGTTTGGATAAACAAAATCCATCGATTTACTTAGAAAGAATTCATATTGGTGTAGGATCAGATCAATTCAACCCCGATCGAAATCACGTTGGTCTCGTTGTTTATTTATATGTTTATAGGAACGAATTCGAACTGAATGATCGACGATCGAAAACTGGTTATATTTATATAAAACAGACAAATAATATTCAAATATACAAAGTACGCGTGGTGTAGTGCACGGCAAACTGTTCAAGTTTTTCGTTGGTACAGAACATGATCAAAAATTTATTGGTGCAGGTTTTGCTTATAGAAATGGTCAATGGAAATTCCATTCTGCCGTATTCAATGCACCTAATGATGATAAGTACCATGATAAAGAGAAACAGGCACATCCGTAAGAACAAGAACTTATAGAAACAGCGTTAGAAAAACTGTATGTCACCCACTGAAAAAAAATCTAGAAAATCCTGCGATAACATGCGAGATTCTTCTAACGCACGAGAGAAAAATTAATACTCCGCGGGTTCTTTCAGAATATCGAGGAATTTTTCTCATTGTGATCTCCCGCGATAATATTCTGTATGGTGTATGGAAAAACACGAAGGATAAATTTTACCCTTGCGACTATAACGATTGAATTTCTCATCGAATCTCGTAGGCTAATTTCAACGCGTCATTTATGACAAACTACTAAGGCTTTTCAGTTTTGCAGCTAGTTCCCGCGAGAAAAGATCACAATTTCTGCTTGTGATCTCTCGAGGTACCCACTGAAAAAAAATCTCGTAAGCTTTGCGATAACTTACAAGGAAAAACAAAATCTTGCGAGATTCTTTCAAAACACGCGAAGAAAAAAGAAATTCTTCTAGTTCTTTCATAAACACCTGAGAATTTTCTTTTCGTGATGTCCAGCGCTAATTCCTTCCGCGTTATCCGGAGAAACACAAATGATGTATTTTTTCCTCCGGAGAATCACCATTGAATCTCTTGCGAGTAGATTTGCTCGCATAATCTATGAAAAAACTGAAGATTCATTTCTTTTTTTCCAGAATTGGCGACAAAAACAATACAAGTTCTATTTGTGATCTCGAGAGGTCCTTTTCACTGGTGTTTTTATATAGATCATAGGCGTTTTCTCCTTTTCTTGAGAGTTCTTGCTAGATGAACAAAATGATTCGTATTCGTGTCCTCTCAGGTAGTTTCTCAATGTGTTTCAACTTTCAAAAGTGACAAAAGTCTTTTCTGTGAATAAAAACTTTGATAGTGAACATTTTGACTGTGATCAAATTTAGTAAAGTTTCTCAAAACAAGCTAGGTTTTTCATTTTGTTATATTTAAAATTCCCAAACTGTTTTACTCTGATTCCTATATCAAACAGAGTATAATAAACTGAATTTGACATTCTTAAAACCAAAACTCACCAAGGACTTAAGAGCCATGTCGTATAAGCGACGACAGACACTGCTCAAACGTATGTCACAGAACTCGTTCGGACCAGTCATTAAATAAACATAGATATTTCTGAGTAAAATGGCGTTTTCCGTTTGAAAAGATATTGCTTGGTTACTGCGAAACGAGCATTTTTAAAATTTCGACTCACTTTTGAAAAATGCGACATCTCCAATGGGAAAAAACAACACTACACTTTTTCCACTACGGTAGTGGCCGTGTAGCGGCCTTGTAGTGACTTTGTAGTGGTCACGGGGGTGTAGTGGGTTGTAGTGGATGTGTAGTAGGCAACCCCTTATAGTGTAGTGAAGTGTTGCTTTTCCCCCCTTGGACATCTCTTATATAGACAACTTTGTGTTCCTCATATCTCGGCAACCAAGGTCTCAAAGTTTTTACATACATAGAATCAACACTTTTCTTCGATTTAAAACAACCCCGACCTCTGGGAATGGTCTCGTTCTCATACAATGACCTGTATCCGGTACGTTCTAAACTCATATATTGTGCACTTTGGAGCCATACTGTATCGAAACCAAACATTTTCATAAAATTATGAAAACTTGATTAGATAGAGGACCTCGAATACTATAACGCCTAAACGTGCGAGCTTCTAATTCGCTTTCGCTCAAATAAAAACTGCATCGAAAGTAGCGACTTTAGCCGAAAATGTCATTTTTCAAAATCGATTTTCTCCCATGGTATAATACAAATTTTGGAAATATGTGGGGACAAGTAGTCCCAACCTTGTTCTGTTACTAGATGAAAAATTTCGATGGGCAATGTAATTGCGACTCTCAGCGGCATTTGAGGCTCTGAGTAGCAATTACATTGCCCACCGAAATTTTTCATCTAGTAACAGAACAAGGTTGGGGCTACTTGTGGGGTTCAGGGCTTTCAGAAATCTTTTTCGAAAAGCTTCAAAATCATTGAATTTTTGGCAAATTGAGATGGATTCAGAAAGATGACAGTTTGGGATACTCAACCTTATACTTACTTCAGTTTCGAAGATTTCGAGGAAAAATCGAATTCCTGAGGGGGGCTGCCCTTGAGAGCTTTATAGAATTAGCTGATTCGATAGCATTTGTTTTGTTCATGGGATTTAGCACTCTCCGAAGATAACAAAAGGTTATTTTGCGACCGTCATAAGATTCAATTCGATTCATAAATAATTGCTTGTGACGTCACACATCCCATCTGTCAGTGACTCATACTATCACTCAACAGTTTCACATCGATTGTAGCACCACACGTCCACTCTAGTGAATCAGACCATCACTTAACAGTTCCACGTCAATTGTGGCGCTGCACGTTCAGTCTAGTGACTCGTACCATCACTTAACACATTAACGTTGATCGTGGCACCGCACATCCACTCGTTAGGTTAACTTAAAAGAAAAGAGTGACCAAAAACACGTGGGATCTCGCGAGATATCATGATTGCACAATATCAAATATAAACAATATAAATAGCACTTTTAACCAAAAATTCACTAGCGCAAGTTAGTCCAACTGCATAGTGTTCGTCTTATAAATCAAGAAAAACTTTACCACGCGAGATAATGAAAAAAAACAAACAACCACGTGAGTTCTCCCGAGAAAATTGTAACTATAAGTCATGTATGAGAAAAATATACGCAAGGTCCTAGGAGAAGATCGCGAACACCCTTTTAAAATTTTTTCATAAAATCTCGCGAGATCTCACAGGATTTTCATCTCAATAGATCTCGTCAGAAAAAATCCTGCGTTTCGCCTGATAAAACTGCGTGTTTTAACCTCGCGAGATCTTTAGGGGAGAAAAACACGCATTTTTATCAGACCAAACGCAGGATTTTTCGTCGCGAGAACCACGCTTCAATTCTCGCGAGATCTCTCAGGATTTTGTCCAGTTTTTTCCAGTGGGTTATTCGACAAAACACAATGGTTTCATTAAATAGTATAATTGCCTACGTAGCTATGGTTTTATAATTACTGATGAGGTTGGTAGTGATCTTTTTTTCCATTACACAGGTTTGATTAGTGATAATTATACACGCGATGGGGATCGTGTTCAGTTTGATATTATTCAAAGTAGAAGAGGTTTACAAGCATATAATGTAGAACGTTTTGTTTATCAAAGTAATTATCAGCGTCATCCTAGTAGCGACAGTCATAGAAGTTGATACATTAATGCATATTTATATTTTGATTCAGTAAAAGATTCTTCAACTCTGCAATGAAACGTGAAACGGAGATTATTTATGTTCCTACATTCTTTGAGCTATAGTATTTCATTAATAATGATTCTTATTAAATTCTTATTCCGTATTATTATCGTTTGTATATCTTTGAAAGAGAAATTATTCAAATAATTACATATTTTAACTAACTTTTTCTTGAATATGTGCCTTGAAATTCTACAGAAAATCAAAAAACAAGATTATGAATGGATTAAAACGAAAATTTTCAAAAATCTAGCAACGAAATGACACAATGAGAACAGAAAATGAATTTTTGGTTAAACGTATACGGTCAAATGATCACTGAACTATATTATATCTTGGGTCGCGCCCACAAAGCCAACGGCGACCCTAAACGATCGCAGGAATATTTCAATAAGCAAGTTGCCATCCTCGATCGTCAATTGTTATCAGTGCCATCGACGACGGCCACCCTGCAGGCTACGAAACATACAATTTACTACATGTGCCCTCGATGTCGACGTCCCGTTTGGATCTGTTCTGCATTCAGCATTTTCAAGGGGTCGCCATGCTTTAGTTGTATAAGGAAAACGTTGCATCTCCAATGGATAGAACCCAGATTGATTCCGTGAAATAATCGCTCTGAAATTTTTGCGGTCGCGTCATTTGTTTCACCTCTATACGAACAAATGCATTCTGACTGTGTCTGCGCCTGTCATCTACCTCAATTCAACACTACAGAAAACCTAATGTATTTTCTGGAAATATGCGCATGTTCTCTTCCGCAATATCTATTAGGCTTTGTGAGGGGAAAGAGAATTTGCTAAGATTCTTTCGTTGTCACTTTTACAAGTCTGATAACGTTAAAAAAGACTGTAACAGAGGTTACTGACCATGCTTTGTTGTTTTTATGAAGTGAAGTGACAATTAGGGAAGTAATAAGTTTTTTTCTTACTTAACGAGAAAGATGGTAAAGATCTCAGAAAATCTCATTAAGTTGAAACAGATTTTTGGACATCTCGGAAATTTTTTTATAATACTGTCTGTGTGGGAGCATATTCCGATCGGAATATGAACTCTTTTCAACCACTTTTATTTGAAAAAAGAAGTTGTTGAGTACACAATAAGCTCGAGTATAAGTGCAATAAAATCGTATGTATTTTGATATTTTAAACTCGATTTGTTTGCATAAATAAATTTTGTTTTACAAACGCTTTTTCGCTACAGAAGGCCTGGGCAAGTTCAAACTTCCAAGGCTTGAACTTTTCTGTAACGAAAAAGCGGTTGTAAAACACAATTTATTTAGTGCAAACAAATCCAGTTTAAAATATCAAAATCATTTTCTTTCTTTAACCGCACTAAACTCGCGTGACTCATAGAGAAATTGGGAAAATGAATTTGTCTTTTCTCTGGTTGAGCGTTAGGACAACGATTAGCAAGTGGATGGGCGACGGCCACTGAAGACTGTGTGACCGTCACTAGACAGGTAAATGGTGTAAAAATTTATCAACAATGGCTAAAACCAATTTGAGCAAAACTTTTTCGGCGCTGACAACCTGGTTTTCCGAAAACAAGTCTCCAGAGGCTGACAGTCACTCCCTCCAATTACGATACTCGAAATCAACAAGATCGATCACGCTCTGGGCTCTTCTTTATTTTCAGTTCTTTTAAAGCGCCTTTCTCTCCCGCTCTTCCATCCTCCTCCTCTTAACGGCGTCCACACCCCCTATACGTGCCATCAAACTATGTCAGTTCGAAGAGGACACCTGATTACATATATTGTTCAGTTTTTTCGATGAACTGTTAACTATTCACAGTGTTATTAATTAATTAAGTTTAAACTTTAATTAAAATTTAAAGTCCTAGTCCTCATTTTAGAAAACTTCTAGCTCAGTCGAAAATAATCGTAGAAAAGTCATTCATGCATTGCTTGCTAGTCAATGGTCTGTTGTTATGGTCTGATGAAAAAAGTTTTTTTAAGACACTGATTTATAATTAATCAATGCTAATGAATACTAATTAATATCACCCTGGTGCCTTACACTTTTATTTACAAATTAACGGTTTATTGGAAATTGTAAAGTAATACGTCATTCGACAGAGATTTCCAAGCGCTACAAACCCTGTATTTGCCTTTTCAAAATGTAACCGATAAGCAGTTATTTGTACTCGGTTTTAGGCAAACGGGGTTTCTACTATTGATTTCTGAATAGAGAGGTCATGGATGTTTTTTGAATAACTCGAGCACGAAAGCGATAGAGAGTTCGGGTTTTCAGCATTTTGTAGAGAAGGCTTTACTTTATCTTCACATATATTTTGTGCTAAAAATCTCTTTTTTTCCGGTGGTGTACCTGACGGATGTAAACCGATGAGGTTGCCAGATTTTGACCCTGCGGTGGATTTTTAATTGTAACATGGTGGTTAGATAGCCCAAATTGTCCTCTAAAATTCTGCGCGAGGCCGACCTCTCTATCTGTTGTGGTTCTCGAACGGCAGACATTTATCCGACGAAATGGTAACGAATTACGGGTGACTCAGGAAAACAATAGAAAAAAAAGTATCGATATTGTGCAAATATAGTGAAATAGGAGAAAAACACACCTGTAGCAAATCTCGTAATTCTCTAACGTCATATTAGCATAGACCAGGTGTGCCAAAATTTTTGCGAAATTTTTTATTTTGTATCAGTACAGAAAAATACTTGTTTGATTTGTGTCACTTCTCTTGTTTAGACATTCAGTGAATGAAGACTTCTCTCTGTCAGTATCAGAAATCTGTCAAGAAACAATGACCAGCAGATATCCCAGACATCCAGTCCGCCAGACTGAAGCGTGTTTGTCTTGTGACCAGTTCGATCAGTCAAACACAGTGTGTCTTTACCACAGTACACAGTGGGCATATTTAGCTAGAGCAGGCGGAAATGTGATATAGATTCGTAGCTCAGTAAACTAAAAGACGTATATGAAAATATTGATGTTATGCGAAAGATTATCGATACGAAACAGCAACACTTACAGTATAAAATGTATCTACTTGCTGAAGAGCGTTGATGGCACAATAGATACAACGTCTGTCTATGATGAGACGGAATCGAGGTTCAAATCCTCGTCGACGCGTAAATTTTTTTCGACTTTTTTTTAGCCAAAAGATGTTATTGCTAAGCCTGCATCATCAGAGGCTTCATATGATGTTGAGAAACGATGATGTTGTTACTCGCTTAGAAGACATTTTGTAGTAATGGCCAAATTTTGTGTTACGAAGATGCTGACATACGGGTTAAAACAAGCAAACAGTTAAAAGTAGAGTAAAATTATTTCATAAGATCTTTAATCAGCTGTTTTCTTGACATTTAAAATGGTAAAATCGATCCATACTTCTTAAAAATCGTTTTAGCACTTTAATGAAATTTTCGGATATATAACCCTGTAAGAGAAGTTTCATGTACATAATTTTAACCACCGTAAAGTATGTTTCATAATCCATACAAACGTTTGATAAGCGAAGTAACTGTCCTATCACCCTACTATAACCCATTACTTCTGGAAAATTATCGTTCAAATCCGGATAATTGACAATGTTAAAACCGAACTTGGTACGTTTATCATATGGTTTGATTTGTATTATTCCGGTAATTATATTTATTTCGAAATCGAGAAAAGTCGTTTGTTTATCATTCAGATTCTCCCAATTTAAAGTTAACTGCACAGGATAAATGACTTATTTATTATGGTTAAATTTATCATCAGAATTGATAGTAGTAAGGTCACACTTAATAGCATAAAAGGACACATGAGAAGCTCAAAACAACTGGCGAGAAAAAACCAGGAAAAAGTAGGCCAGATCCCGCGGGAAAGCTACACGGCGAGATTACGCGATGAAAAATCCAGAGAGATCACACAGGTATTTTCCTCAAGAGGAAAAATTCTGCGTGATCTCACCGAGTTTCAAAAATTTTTTTCAGTGGATAGTGATTATCCTTGCTCATACAGAAGCACCGACTTTAGAGTCTGTTACTTTAACTAGAATCTCATTAAAAATAGGAGGTATTGGTGACTAACCTGAAATCGATTTATAACCTCGGGTGGTCCCTCATTAGTATAGCAAAAAACAAAGGAAATCAACAAGAACTGCATTTCTCTATTTTCAATAAAACTTTTACTGAGATACCTAAATCGTTTCTAGTGCTCTTACTATCAATCATTTTGTGAATTTCAAATGCATCATATTGCTTCAATTCATCCTTATTTTCCAGTGACAGATCATGTCTGTCATCTGCAATTACTAAATATTTTCCTGTAAAAACCAAGTTTATAGGCGTATCCGAAGTAGGTCATTAAAATTTTATAATCTTCTTCAGAAGGAAGTGCCCACTTCACGGCTCACAGAAATACAGTATTTGTCGATATTCGGACCCTGCACACTTTCGAAAAGTTTGCAGGTTCCGAGATCCAAGAAAAGAATCCGCAGAACTTTGTCAAGTATTTTTCTAGATAGAAAAATTTAGTGTCATGGCATATAAATTTTTCAAAATTTCCGTAAAAGGCAAATATTCCTAGTTTAATCTTCTCATACTTTTTAAAAGATTCTGCAGAACTAGAAAGCTTTTGAAAACGTTGAGCAGATAAACAAAAGCATTGTATTTAAAGTCAAACAAGTGATTTAAAAAAAGATAGAAATATCACAGTTAAATGACAATATCCGACTAGGAGTAAATAAATCTAAAATCTAAATAATAAGAAGACAATTACTTGGTTAACAATTTCATAATAATACAATAAAATAGAAAAATAGAAATGATAAAACTAATGATAAATTACTGATAAAACAAAAAAAACTTATCGATATTAAATCAAATTAAGTGCAGTGAACAACCGAACAATAATGATCATCATCTTTTATTTTCAGTGCATCACAGACATAAAAAAGAGAATCATTTATTCAGAGCTTGTTAACCTCTTGTCTTGTGGAGAAACATGTGTTATACATTCCTGGAAACACAAAATAGTACTATCTGCCTAGATGTTAAGGTTTAAAAACGATGAAAAGGTCCTGTACGTGCGAGAAGAGATAAGACTGTTTTTGCGTTGTATCAGTACAGATCAGAGATCCGCAATTTTAACCATTTTTATACATATTTTATTACGTTCACTGAAGACGACCTCAATAAAAGAGGTCGACACGTTTGTTTTGTTAAAGATTTTTTAAATAGTTTTAAATATGTTTAAAAAAAAATACGAAGCTCTACAAACTGGTACATATCCCATTTAAAACTGAGACTCACACTTGGAGATGTTCCCTCGTAAGTTTGCATTGAAATTTATAAAATCCAAACGTAAATCTTTCTTTTATGTTTGTTAAGATCTCAACCTGTAAAATCTCATTCGAAAGATTTTAGTATAGTAGTCTAGAGAAGTATAATCTAATTCTAATTAAACATCATCTAAAAACTCGGCATTTTTAACCTCAAATATATGAAAAAGTGACGTAGAGTTTCATCTAACTTACGAAATCTACAAAATAATGAAAACTCGCATTTTTTATCTGCTTTTATCTTCGATATATTCAGAAGATAACTTTACGGCATTTTATAAACAACTATGATTTATAACTGAGTTACGTATTGTGACTATTGTTTGATTCAAAAAAAAAGATAGATACACGAGTATGCAAATCACCGTACCGTATCATTAGTGTTTTATTTTTATTAGAAACATGATTGTTGCTCAGCTTTCTCCAGTTCAGCTTTTATTTCTACTGCAATCCTTAGTTAATATTTGTTTTATTTTCTACTTATTTTCTTATCCGAAACACTTTTTACAGTTGTTATTATTCGATAAGAATCGAGAAATATCTGAACTGAATCAACAACTAGTGTTATGGTGGACAGTACAAATTCTCATACAAACGCTTGGGATGATTGTATCCATCCCTATAGGACATTTAACAAAATATGTTTGCTTCAATTTACTGCTTGGTGAAATCTCGATCGCTTGTTGTTTTACTTATCTTACATATACAATTAACAACAGTCATTGGACATGGATATGTTTTCTTCTAATGTCTGGATTTATTGGGTTGGCTTTATTCAGACTGTACATATTTATATTCAAACGTCAATGGTTTCCGACTCTCCATCAACATAGCCATTCGAACTAGGACATTTTAATCTCGATTGAAATTAATGATTTCATGAAGCGATGAATAGTAAGAGTACATTTGATAAGATCACGTCTCGTCAATATTTTCAAACTATTTTCTTCCGTTTCAGAGAGTAAGTATTTTAATGTTGAATCATGAGAGACAAAAACAATGTTTATCTTTCTTACTTTAATTACATTTAAAGTTACTTTTAAATATGATTGAAGTAAGAAAGAAAAGAATGTTTTTCTAGATCATATGGCTGCATTTAATTCGATTATTTTTAAGTGCCTCAATCGTTTCTGTAAAAGTTTCTTAGATTTGTTTACTTAACTGAACTACTTCATAGTACAAGGACATTGTAAAACCTTAAAACTTTTTTGTGCCGGTTTTAAAAGCGTATGAATTCATTTTACTGCGGTAAGAATCAGAAACTAATGCCTGTTGCACTTGTACATAAGTTAGTGAAGATAAAAGAACGCACGGACTCTTTTTAATCAAAGCGAAGTAGAGGAGCGGATAAACAGCATATTATGTGTTACTCGATAGAGCTGAATCTAATAAATTTTAATGGCACAAGAAGCAATCCATTTACATACGCTGCAGGATACGCTGAATCCTCTCAAGTTTTACATTTATTTCACTCTTGGATATTGCTTCTTCAGGTCTTTCGTTACCTACACAAGTTCGATCTAATCTATGCCTTTCGCAACTTGAACAAGCGTTTCCAGCGAATCATTAATCCGTACGTAGACGATATCGACTTGACACAGGACAGCATATCTTATGAAAAGTTCATTCTGATCCTAAAACACATTCTGCCTGTACATGGACGAGCCGTTAGCTCTCTAAAACTCGATGCAAGATATCATTTGCATTCAATTCATCCATACATTCGATATTTAGTTAAACTAAAATCACTTACAGTGACGAATTACAGTACCATTAAATCTGAATCACTTACAGTCATGAACCGTATCCTAAAATCTGACGATATTGTTAAATTTGTTGAAGAAGCACTGTCGCTACCGTCTCTATCGGAGCTATCAATGAACCGCATAGACAATTCTATACTTAAAACTGTAGCCATTTGTGACCGACAAAATTTTACGAAACTAACTCTCGGAAGTTGGTCGAGCATCAAAAACGAACGCTTTCCAGATGTTCCACAAATACCCTCCATAAAATACCTTTCAATTAGCATACATAATGTCGAATCACTGGTCAGTCTCTTCGAGACAATGATCAGTCTGAAAGAACTGAACTTATCTGTACCATACCTTGACGAACTCGAAGACTCTCATCGTCAGATTAGTGTACCGATAACATTGGAAAAATTGCAGATAGAAATCGAAAATGGATATAAAGTGAAGTTCGAAACAGTAAAAGATTTACTGACCGTATTCAAAGGTCAAGTGCAGTTATTGACATTGGTCGTAAAAGATGCCACAGAAGAGTACTCAAACTATGAGAAATTTCAATCTTTAACTAGCAGCTTTGTTCGTCTACAATCGTTTCACTATAAGATCAACACAAGGCATAAGCTTGACATACGCTTTCCTAAAGTCGTACAAATGTTGAACTCGAGTTGCTATTCAGTGTTCACCCTTCCAAAACCACAATCGCTCTTCACCAAATTCAAACCAGAACGTTCATGGATAAACTTTGAGCAGGTTTCGACTCCAAAAGATCTTTACAATTACACTGCACTTGCCGTAGATGCCCGGTGTCTCACTCAAGCTTTTCAATCAGTAACAGACGATTGGAAATTCATGAACTTGAAACACTTAGAGCTTTGCCATATTGAAAGTGATTTCCAAGAGGAGACATCAAGTCACTGGTCAACCTTAGCTAAAATTATAGCTCAATCACCAAATTTAGACAGTCTAAAAATATCAGCAAAGAATACAAAATTAATTATTACCTATCTACAGAACCTTATTGCCGTGAAGTCTTTGAGAAATAACATTTGTTATATGCAAGTGCCGGAACACAGTTTCCAGTTAAACTACCATTCGTCGTTTTTGTCCGAATTATCACACATCTTACCCAATTTAAGAAGTCTT